ATATGCACGTCGGAGCCATTAAAATTCTGCCTTTTTCATTAAGCGAAAAAAATAGACGATGTTTTTCAACTGCATTTTAAGTCAATTTTTGCCGCATGACCATATATATTTGTTTGGTTGTTATGCAACACTGACATTTTTTCCTAGTTGGTGTAGTCTTCGAGAAAAAATATGGAACACCACTGGTACCCTATGGAAAATGCATTACCAATAATTGCGCTCTTGTAACCTGTATCTATTGTATCCTTAATCTCAAGTTAGATGGTATAGATGCGTTCAACATGGTCACCAAATTTTGAATTATTAGGGAGAAAACATCATCTATATAGCGGAAGGTGAAGTTAAAGGATACTGTTAACTTCTTTTTTTTTCTTCCTAAGAAGTTTCTGTATGAAGTCAGCCTCATATGAATTAAGGAACAAGTCGGCAAGAAAAGGAACACAGTTGGTTCCCATGGGAATGTCGATTGTTTGTTGAAAAAAAAGTCCTCCAAACGTAACAAATATGTTGTCAATCAAAAAATCAAGGATCTTGACAATTTCAAGAATTATACGAGTTATTTTTTACTATTTGCGATTTATTCCTCCCTAAGACAAGATACGTTTTATGTTGGCCATTCTTTTTTATGAAACAAAGCAGAACCAACTCTTTCAATTTGTCTTTTAGTTTGGTATGGGGAATACTTGGGTAAAGTGTAGAAAAGTCAAATGTTTTAATACTATTGCTAGATGAAAGAGTCTTAGATTGTATGCACTCTAAAAGATCTTTGGAATTTTTTAGTATCCACATCTGATTCACGACACCTCTAGAATATGTAGTTTCACAATAAATTTGAAGCCCTGCTTTGATTGCTGATAAAATTGATGTTAATAATTTAGAAAGAGGTTTCGTGGAGCACTTGGAAGACCCAGCAATATAACGTTGTTTGAAAGGACACTTATGTAGTTTAGGTATCAAATACAGTGAAGGTAAACCCAGTTCTTCATCTTTGGTTGAAATTCCAAAGGAACATAGAACAGACCTATGATTATGCAGGATCTCCTCCTCGGTGAGTGTCGTGGGGGTATATGTTGAGTTTCAAAGTGAATTACCAATACCTAATTCATTTATCAAGCAGTTTATTAAATGTGATTAACAAACAAAAACGATGTTGTTCGGGGATTTATCTGTGGGGACAACAACATATTTGTCATGTAGGTACATGTAGGACAGGTGTTTTGCAACATTTGGGTCTTTAAAGATTGATGTAGCATGAGTATTCATATACCCATTTAGCTTTCTAATGCAGAGAAGTGTTTTGACAATGTTTAGGTCACCATTTATAACGTGGCCAACCGGATTATATATGAATGGGGAAGTAGCACAGTTGCAATCAGGAGGTTAAGACTTGAAGTCGTCAATATTGAGATCCTGCAACACGTGTTTGTAATTGAACATTTTAGTTGCAATTGGTTTGGTATAGGTATAAGAAATGATAGGTACAGACTTTATCTTTAAAATAGAGAGGTATTTTTGAGTGAACTGATTTATGATAAAGGATATTACCCAAGTTGATTGCATCAAGACCTTTGTTGGCAAAGGACAGTTTTAGAAAGGATCTTTTCTCCTTTTCATCTTTTCCCATGCGAACTGGTTTCAAAAGTCTGTGACTTGCCAATTGACATGTAAACCTTACAATCATTCAATACACCGCATGTAGTTGACCTACAGCTTACAATATCTGCGGATCTTATCACGTAACTTTAACCTTGATAACTCAATTAAATGAGGTAAGAGTTCTGTGTACACTATCTGACGGACATGAAGACTTTGTAAGGAACCCATTTACCAAATATATTTATCTTATTACTCATAATGAGTGATAAATTTACGCAACAAAAATAATTTTTTAAGCAGTCTTCTTAAATCTGAAATATGAAGCTTCATACAAATAGTTTACGCCACCGCCGGCGGATTGTAATCCATATATCTCAGGTTTTTTACTTCTTCGCAGGGGAGACAATAATGTGAATACATTTTAAAATAAAATGCTCCCCGCGCGGCGCAGCTTGATACGATCGCAGAAGTCGAACCCTGAACAGTTAGGGCAAGTAAGGACACTAAATTCAAGCTTGATACCTGTTAGTCAAATGCGTTTTGTTTAAATATACTTTTTCGCTTTTTGGTCTTTTGGTAAATGTTGTTTGTGCTGTATTTAGACCCAAAACAAATTTCTTGGTAGAGGGGTCTAAATACAGCACAAACAACATTTACCAAAAGACCAAAAAGCGAAAAAGTATATTTAAACAAAACGCATTTGACTAACAGGTCGAACAACGGATGTTCTTAAACCCTGCTGACTGCCATTGGCGATTGCCAAATAAACGGATCACAAGATGTAACAAAATGGATCTTTATTATTTATTTAATACCAAATAGAAAACAATAAACTTGCTGAAAAGATGGCATACCGCAAACAAAAGATGCAAAAATTAGTACACCATATCCGGATTTCGACAATTAATGTCTCTTCAGTGATGTTAGGAATCGAAACGGTATTTGGAAGGCCATATAATTAACCTCAATTTAAGATAGACTCTTGAATTTTGAAGAGTCGAAATAGGATGAACGGATCATATAAACCCGAAGGCAAATATAATACAAGCCCAAACGAAAAAATATAAACAAGTCTAAATTGAAAAACAACGTTTAAATCTATGATTGCGTTTGATAAAAACCGCAATTTTTATACGTGTGCATGCAAAACAAATTTCTTGGTAAAGGGGTCTAAATACAGCACAAACAACATTTTCCAAAAGACCAAAAAAGTGAAAAAGTATATTTAAACAAAACGCATTTGACTTACAGGTCGAACAACGGATGTTCTTAAACCCTGCTGACTGCCATTGGCGATTGCCAAATAAACGGATCACAAGATGTAACAAAATGGATCTTTATTATCAATTTAATACCAAAAATATTTTATATATATATATATATATATATATATAGCATTCTGAAAAGTAATTTCTACAGAATAACAAACAATTCTTTCACGAAGTTCTTCAAAAAATTTACCAAAAAAAATAAAAAAAACAATTTCCATAATATCATTCCTCATTTATACAGTCCTACTGTTATCCCCAAGAAATGATGATGGATTTAAAATCAGCTTATCAGCCAGACCACTTAGAAAACACAAAATTTTAAAATAAATTTGTCACTCCAATTATAAGTGTTTTATTTGATGAATACCACATGTTTTGTTTTCTTGATAATAGGTGGTGAAAAGTAAAATAACAAAAATAATTGTGCATGAATGAATCAATAGTAAATACACAACACTTATCCATATTCATAAATGACTCCAAACAATGTAAAATCTAATTGACTACAGCTTTTGTCATAGATGGAGATTTCACGTTATGACAAACTAAGAAAGAAAGTAGAAAAGTCAATATTTTCCTGATTATCAATTGTATTCTTTTACAAACAGGTTGTTCATATAACACAGAAATCTTAATCATGGAATCTAAAATCTGGACGTCGTGATTCAAATACGAAAAAATGTAGGGTGGGAGGTGGCTGATTCCTAAGTCAAGACAAAATAAGATTGGTATTTGCTGCTTCTCTGCTAAGCACAAAGCATTAACGAGTTACTGCAAATACTGGTCAGATCAGAATTAGAATGTTGTTTCTAATATGACTAAATAATAAATTAACAATTAAATTTGTCCTGAAATATTATCAAGGGGTGTGTTTGTGTGGAAAGGGGGGGGGGGGGGGGGGGATTCTGCTAGAGCCTTGGTGAAATGTTCGAAAAGAATAAATTGTGAATCCTGATATTTATGGATTTTTTATTCATTTCTAAAATTTAAATGAAAATTTTATTTAAATTTTTCAACCCCCCTTTTTTTGTTCTTCAGTTTAGTAACTTGAATTGTGTGATACATGTAAGTGCAAAATAACTTAAAAGATGAATTTTGAAAATGCAAATTGTCATACAGATGTGAAACATATATGTTCAATTGTAAAATTCTATCTTAATACTTTTAAAATGTTCTTATTTGTTAAAACTGGTTGAAATGTTTATACCAAACAGTTACTTTCTGTTGATTTTTTTTTCATCGCTAACAAAAAGTAATGAAATTCTTTTATGTATATTATGTGTATTATATATACACCTGAAATTATATTTCACAAAAACAATGCCATCTATGACAGTTTTATCACAAAGGATGCAGAAATTATCACCGTAGCTAGTAAGATATCTGAACCAAACCTGTGTAATGTCAATTTTACAGATAAAATTACAAATTTGACAAATTTCATTAAATGAATGTTCACAGCCACTTAAGTTTTATGTTGGTTTTATCTCAACAGTAGTTGTCTAAAACTTTTCAATTTGAGGGATGTGTGTAGGTCTGAATAATCAGTTAATTACAAATGTAAATATGTGATACAAATTGTGTGTAGTTTTTTATAGGAAGAAAAATAAAAATTTACCTTTTTTTTAAATAATAATAATAATGATAATAATAATAATAATACATGTAATAATAACTCTTTATCTAAAGAGGGTTACACAGTTAGCTGACACAACAATTCGAACTTGGTCTGTATTTTGTGGTAGTAAGCATTGTGCATAAGTTTCATAACAATTGGTTAAGGCAAACTAAAGTTAGAGAACGGAAACGAAAAATTCAGCAATTTTTCCATTTGTAAAGGGGCATAACTCTAGAACGGTTTAAGTGACGCCACCAAAATTCAAATTTGATCTGTGTTTTGTGGTAATAAGCATTGTGTATAAGTTTCATAAAATTTGGTTGAGGCAAACTTAAGTTAGAGAACGGAAACCAACTTTGGGACGTACGTACGGACGGACAAGGGTAAAACTTAATGCCCCCTTCCGCTACGGTGGGGGCATAAACAAATTTTCATTTAAGATGTTCCGTTGCACCATGCTTGAAGTAAGAATTACACTGTGTAAAGATAATCCAATTACAGGAGAGCAAACTTACATTTTTATCAACAAGGGCAGGTTTGATACCAAAGAATGGTCTCATTGGCATAGCAGGTAATATTTCAGCTCCTTCCTCTGATGGTCTAGGTGATATAGCAATTCCACCAGTCTCTAGTTCGTGAAAAAAAAGGAAATATATATACAACATGCAGAGACATATACAAGAAAACAACATGTACAAAATTCTTTTATGATTTGCATATCTTCAAATACTGGAGTGTGATTAGAAAGTTGGAATTTATTTTCTTGGTCTAGATTTCAATAGACCATGTTGCCGAAACTTCTTTAGTTACCATGCAAAAATATCGTTGATTTCACTGTGAGATATTCATGTGCAATATACATGAATGAAAATACTTGGGATCTAAAAAAGGTGAAATTTAAAGAATGTTTTGGTTTGGAATTCCTCGATTGTGAAATAATCGAATGAGACAAATCTACCGATTGTTAGAATAATGAGACAAATCTACTGATTTGTATCAGCAACATGTCGAGTGTCACATGTGGAACAGTAACAGCTTACCCTTTCGGAGCACATAATTTATTTTTGGTGGGGTACATGTTGCTCAATCTGTTTTATTTATGCTATGTTTTGTGGACTCGGTCGTCTTTTCATCGTTTTCCGTATAAACTTATGAGATTCGAACGTCATCTGGTAATTTCCACCTCTTTTCTTTCATAAGAACAAGATTTCTACGCTGCAGCCAATTGTCTCCAACACTGTAAAAATGAGTAATTAAATTGGGTGCCCAATGTTTCATTGTGGTACGAAAGTCAAAATATGGCCAAAGACCCAGAACTCCCAAAATAATGGTCAAATCAAAATGACAGTCCAACATGGTCAACTTTACGTGGATGCATACAATCCTATCAAGTATGAGAGCTTTCTGTGAAAGAAGAGTTGCGTTCAGAAGGTGACACTATAACTATACTCCAACTCCTCTTTATCCTATATGTTTGGGTCGAAATGACGGTATGATATGGTCAAACACACATGATGGTAACCAATACTACCAAATATGAGTGGTTTCTGTAAAAATGTCGTAGAGGAAAAGAGTTCACCACATGTAATTGTCACAATACTCCGAAAAATGGTCACAGTCCAATATCTTCTGTAATCAAAGTGATCTGAATCTTTAATGGAAAGATTGGAGGAATTATGGGTATAATTTCCATCGTATGTTACTCTCTCATTGCAGCGATGGTGGACAAGAACAACTTGCAATAGCACATTGCATATTTGTTAATTGCATAGCTACAGATCTTTAGTAAGATAAGCAATTGTTTAGTGGATAAAAAAGCTTAATAGAGGTCAATGTCGGTGGGTCACTTAATTTTCATTATAAATTCTTTTAAATTGCAACTTAATATCTATATTTTTTTTTCTGAAGAAATTACCTAATTAAAAAAAATAATCATTGCAGTTTCTCAATAACCCTGGGACTAATGGAAAACGTGACTTGAAGCTATAAAAATAAGAAGATGTGGTATGATTGCCAACGAGACAACTCTTCACAAGAGACCAAATGACACAGAAATTAACAACTATAGTTCACCGTAAGGCCTTCAACAATGAGCAAAACCCATACCGCATAGTCAGCTATAAAAGGCCCCGAAATGACAAATGTAAAACAATTCAAACGAGAGAACTAACGGCCTAATTTATGTACAAAATAATGAATGAAAAACAAATATGATACACAGAAACAAACGACAACCACTGAATTACAGGCTCCTGACTTGGGACTGGCACATTCAGAACGTGGCGGGGTTAAACATGTTAGCGGACACCCAACCCTCTCCCTAACCTGGAACAGTGGTGTAACAGTACAACATAAGAACAAACTATCAAAATCAGTTGAAAAAGGCTTAACTCGTTTGAAATAAGTTTTCTACAGGTACAACCAAACTTCAAAACCAAATCTTTATATCTATGGAAGAATTTAGTAAAGGTTTTAAGTAATTTGTGGTAACGAAATCCCCGACTTAATAATTTACCAGTAATACATAGATTATATTCATTGAAATCCAAAACGTCACAACAGACACGGGCATAGCGAACGAGTTGTGATATATAAACACCGCAAAATGGTGCCGAAGGAATATCATAGTCCAAAAAAGAAAAATTAACAATAGGGAACGAAAATCGGCACTTTTGTCGTAAATTTTAGAATAGAGTTTCTGGTGTAAAACTGAAATATCTAAATCTAGGAAAGGATAGTTATTACCGTTTATATTTGATTTATTTAAAGTAAGTTCCTTTGGGTAAATTTCGGTAGTATATTTAGAAAATTCTTGATTATTTAACGAAAAAATATCATCAAGATAACGGTAAGTGTTGTTGAATTTATCAATTAAATGCAATTTAGACGGGTCTTAACTGAGTTTGGTTATAAACTGTGATTCATAACAATACAAGAACAAGTCTTCTTTAAGGGGCGCAATTGGTGCCCATAGGAATACCTACAACCTGTCGATAAACTTTATTGCCGAAACGTACATAAATAATACCGAGGAGAAAATCAACAGCTTCAATCATCTCATCACACCTGCAGTAAGTATATCTAGCATATTTACCTTTCTCATTAGAGAACAAGGCTTTAAATGTGTAGCAGCAAATATATTTGCATTCAGATTTATCAAACGACGATTTGATTAAATAGAAAAACTTTTGTTTTGATAAAATTGTATGGTAGTGTAGTGTAAAGAGTTGAAAAGTCAAAACTGTCAACAGAATCAAAAGGACCATCAAAAGCACGTAATTTATCTAAAACATTTAAGAATTTTTTACACTCCAAAATTAGTTATTTCCACTATTTTGATATATTTTATTACAAAAGTTAATATAAAGTTCTTGGATAGTAGTTAAGGAACTAGTTAAAAGCACTGAAAGATTAGTTGTAGAACACTTACTAGATGCAGAGATGAAACGATATTTTACTGGTTTTTGTGTAGTTTAGGTAAATAAAGGCAACAGTAGTATACCGGTGTTCAAAAGTCATAAATCGATTGAGAGAAAACAAATCCGGGTTACAAACCAAAACCGAGGGAAACACATCAACTATAAGAGGAAAACAAAGGAACAACAGGAACACCGAAGTGCAACAAACACAAACGCCAACACACATAGAAACGAACTATTTGATAACAACTGCCATATTCCTGACTTGGTACAGTACATTTTAAGAAAAAATGGTGGGTTGAACCTGGTTTCATGGCATGCCAAACCTCCCGCTTTATGACAATTTTAAAAAATATCGCTAAAACACTACGTGACAGAAATACAGCACAAACACACGCAAGAACATTCATAACAGAGAAACGCACAAACAAATAATATAATAGTCAACACAACATGCAAACCACAGAACAACAACGAACATATTCCATCAACGAATGAAAGAACCTTAGTGAGCGCGCTCACATACCCCACGTCCCCACATTGTCATTGGAGAAATAAAATAAGTGTAAGAAAAAAAAATTGTATCAGAAAAAAAAATTGAATCATAATTTCCTGTCAATATGCAGATCTACATAGTATGTCCTTATTATCTACACAGTTTCATGAAATTCTGTTGTGTGGTTTGAGAGGAGTTGCGATGACAAAAGGTTGCAGTAGTATATTGGGCAAATAAGTTCAAAGGGGCGTAACTCCTGGAAAAAAAATTGAATCGTAATTTCCTGTCGATATGCACATCTACGTAGTATGTCCTTATTATCTGAAAAGGTTTCATGAAATTCTATTGTGTGATTTGAGAGGAGTTGCGATGACAAAAGGTTGCAGTAGTATATTGGGCAAATAAGTTCAAAGGGGCGTAATTCCTGGAAAAAAATTTGAATCGTTATTTCCTGTCGATATGCACATCTACGTAGTATGTCCTTATTATCTGAAAAGGTTTCATGAAATTCTGTTGTGTGGTTTGAGAGGAGTTGCGATGACAAAAGGTTGCAGTAGTATATTGGGCAAATAAGTTCAAAGTGGCGTAACTCCTGGAAAAAAAATTGAATCGTAATTTCCTGTCGGTAAGCACATCTACGTAGTATGTCCTTATTATTTGAAAAGGTTTCATGAAATTCTGTTGTGTGGTTTGAGAGGAGTTGCGATGACAAACTGTTGCAGTAGAACATTAAAGTAAATAAGTTCAAAGGGGCGTAACTCCTAGAAAAAAAATTGAATCGCAATTTCCTGTCGATATGCACAACTACATAGTATGTCCTTATTATCTAAAAAGGTTTCGTGAAATTCTGTTGGGTGGTTTGAGAGGAGTTGCGATGACAAGAAACAGGACTGACGGACGGTAGTATATTGGGCAAATAAGTTCAAAAGGGCGTAACTCCTGGAAAAAAATTTGAATAGTAATTTCCTGTCGATATGCACATCTACGTAGTATGTCCTTATTATCTGAAAAGGTTTCATGAAATTCTGTTGTGTGTTTTGAGAGGAGTTGCGATGACAAACTGTTGCAGTAGTACATTAAAGTAAATCAGTTCAAAGGGGCGTAACTCCTAGAAAAAAAATTGAATCGCAATTTCCTATCGACATGCACAACTACATAGTATGTCCTTATTATCTAAAAAGGTTTCGTGAAATTCTGTTGGGTGGTTTGAGAGGAGTTGCGATGACAAGAAACAGGACTGACGAACGGACGGACTGACACTGACACTATGTCCTTTTTTCATATCTTCCAAACTTAACCTGTGAATGATTGTTCTTTGGGGGGGATTTCTATGTTTAGGCATGTAATACTTATGTTCTCACTCCTAATGATGTTTTTTTTTTATTTTTATACAAAATATTATATATGAAACTGGGTAATTTTCACACCAATTAACTTAATAGAATTTGTTTATTCTATTGTCATAAGATTTAAGAATTATAATTTTTGAGGCAAATTCTTTTCATAATTTAATTCTAGAAAGTTCCCTGATTTTTAAAATCTAATGACATAATGGAAAGAAAGAGGAATGCTCAAAGGATTTTCAATGAATTGTAGTGTGAATCAAAAGTTATATATAGGTAAAGGATTAAATCTATCATCTGCATATAATTTTAAAGAAATGGACATTTAATTTTTATGTTAAACAAATGTAACAATTACACATGAAGATAT